TTCCTGGAATATTTTTTGATAGAAATTCAGTGACAAGATTTACGAAACCTTCCTACGCTTTCTCCCCAATCTTAGCCCCTACATCTTGTCAGTTCAAGCATTGCTACATCCTCCCTCTGTGAGGACGGAAGGTTACATGATGTTCTAGTCTGTTTTGTGTATCGCTAACGAAATACCTGAGTCTGGGTGATTTTATAAAGAAGATAGAAGATTATTTACAAACACACCATTCTAATGTTGGAAAATCCAAAGTGCTTGGCCTGCAGCATGGCCGAGGGAAGTACAGAGGATGGTGAGGATGTACAGAGGGAGAGCAGTCCTGGCTGATCTCTCTTTCATAACAGCCAGCTCTGGCAAGAACTCAGCCCTTCTCATGATAGCTAGGACTCACTGGGCGTTGTAAGACATCATTAATCTATTCATGAGACCGTTATCCCCATGATGCAACCACTCTGAGCCAATCACTGGGCACTAGACTTCACCATGGGACACTGAATAAATGAAGTTTTCACTTAATGCCTTTTCAGTGCATTCAGTACAATCTAGTCCCAACACATGAATTTCTGGGGAACACATGCAAACCATCGCGTGTGGTTACTTTCCATCTAATCTAAAATTGTCAGCCTAAGTATAAGAGTAATCAGGGAGGACACTAACCTATAACAATAGTCTTTCTTTTTCATATTTGTATTTTTTTTAAATTTGTATTTCTTTTTTTTTTTTTTTTTAGGGCACTCACCAGACAGAGAGAGACATAGAGACAGAAAGTGAGAAATCACCCCCCCAGAGGGGATGGTCACGCTGCAATCCCTTCTCCTCCATTCTCCTCTCGGGATCTTGGGTGCACATGCGCCTGGTGTGAGATTTATTTATTTTTTTAGAGAGGCTTTTCGCTATAGGGCGCGTGTGCTCTCCAGACAGACAGAGAGAGACATAGAGACAGAAAGCGAGAAATCACCCCACAGGAGGGATGGTCACGCCGCAATCCCTTCTCCTCCATTCTCCTCTCGGGATCTTGGGCACGCATGCACACGCGCCCGGCATGAGTTTTAAGCCACTGGGTCCGGGATGCGAACCGCGGTCAACTACGTGGGAGTCCAGTGACATAGCCATTTCACTAACTGCTGGTTCCTATATTTGTATTTCTTTCTCTTTTTTTTTTTTTTTATTAATTCACTTTACACCATCACAACACACAAATGAATTTTCCATCCAAAATACATTGTGCATTGGCTCAATCAAGCACATCCACATACATGTTCTTAGCAAATAATTTTCCAATTCTTACGTCCTGCATACCTTGCCCTTTGTCTTGCCATCCCTGATTCCCCATCTCCCACCCTCTGCTATGTCCCATCTTCCTCCCCCATTGTCCCTGGCATCCATGATTGCCCTCCATACCTTCCTCCCCCCCCCCCACCATTCAATTGGTCTTCCAATGACCTT